CATGTATGTACATATACTTACGTTGGTAGTATAGTACCATCATGAGATCCATCAACCAGTCACTGTATAGTATCAGTAATCTCATATCTTGATGCATAAGAGAAACACACATTAAGATATACCCTATAATAAAGGAATGGACAATATATAATAATAAATACATGTACATGTATATTGTACATTCATGTCTTGTATCAATTAATAATGTATTTATCATTTTTGTTATTGATAAAGCTCTCTACATTACTGTACTATTCACCCCATGCATATCAATTGTTCAAGGACTGACTATAGTATAGTCTCATGAATACAGTAGTGACTGTTGTATAGATTCTGTGGTAGCTACCTCTACTTGTCCAGTATGTTGTGCTATGATTCAAAAGTAACAAAAGACTGTGGCAGAATATAGAAACACTTACACTACATGTGAGCCACTTAAGATTTGAATTAAATAAAATAATGTACATGTACTTGTTTAGCAAACACAGTAATACCTGATGAGGAAAAACATCTAAACCATATGTACATGTACTAGTAATATTAAGTACTTACTTGTTATTGTTCTTAGTCATTGTCACAGCTCTTGCTACTGATTCTTGTACATCAGTTGGTAATAATATAATATCACCTAACACTCGTATGCACACACCATCATTATCAATTAGATCACTATAAAATAATAATTTACTTGAGCTGTCCTTCTCTCAATTTATCCCACATCTTGTGCTGTGCATCCTATAAATAAAATTAATAGGTTAATGTAACAAATAAACAAATAACTTTTTTGGTGTCTCCCTCTACTATCTCTAGTGTTTTGTCTCTTAGGCCACTTATTTTCATTGTAATTTATATTATCAGTATTATTATTATCAGATTACCTTTGGACTAACTCCGTACTATGCATTATTTTACATAATAATAATAATAATAAAAGTTCGTTTTGCAAGATCCACTGATTTTGCAAGGGCAATCGCTGATGCCCGATTTAGCTTTTGATTATTTATTAACTTAACTTGTGTTCAATTATTATTAATTTAACTTTGTGAATTAACTTCCTTATTGTTCTTCTTAATAATAACTTATAATAACTTCCTTATTATAGGGCTCAGTTCCCTTTTTATATGTAAGGCCCATGGTTTTTTTAAATGGCTCCAAAATCACCCCAAATTTTTATTAAATTTTTTGATACATATTGATGTACTTATGCTGTGTAGAAAGTTTGAGCTGATTTCAACTTCAATTTTTCAAGTTATGGCCATTTTAAGAAATCGGCCAAATTCTGAAAAATACCCAAGGCTATAGCCCATGGTTTTTTCAGAAAAATGGCTCCGAAATCACCCCAAATTTTTATTACATTATCTGATACATATTGATGTACTTATGCTGTGTAGAAAGTTTGAGCTGATTTTGACTTCAATTTTTCAAGTTATGGCCATTTAAAAAAAACTCCAAATTTTCGTTACATTTTCTGATACATATTGATATCCTTATGCTCTGTTTGAAAATTTAAGCTGTTTCAGACAAATATTATTCGAGTTACAGCGATTTAAAAAAATTGGCAAACTTTTGAAAAATGACCTAGTCTAGCCCATGGTTTTTTCCAAAAAATGGTTCCAAAATACTTTCAAATGTCCTATAGTTATAATACTATATCACTTACAATTACTCATAAGTCCAGAGCCTTAAGCCTGAACTTCAGCAGCCTAGAGAAAATAACATGAAATCAACTCAGTATTATGCATTAATATTACATAAAAGGATCAGTAATTCTTAAATAAACTTACAATGGAGCCTTTAGTTCATTATCCATGGACATAGAGCTTCCTACATTTCCTTAAATGTATTTTTAATTTAGGCCACATTTATACTACTACACTTTTAACAAAAACGAAAATATTTTTGGTAGGGTTTACACTGATATCAAATCCAAACAAAATAAAATCAAATACTAAAAGGAATAATTCTATAAACAAATGATAAATTCTAATGACAATGCAGCTGCTGGATTAGTGTAAACACCTGAAACAGGAATAACAAAAATGATGTGGTGGAGTCGTGTAAACATGACCTTATTTTTAAGAATAATTTTTAATAACAGCATAGTACAGAGTATCATTAAAAATATAATCATTTAATTATAGTTTAGTTCAATTAACTAGCTTACTAAATAATAACATTAATACAACAGCAATAGTAATTAATAATAATAATAATAATAATAATAATAACAACGACAACAAAAATTAGTATAAACAACTAATGATATACCTAAGTAAATATAAATTATTAATGAGTCAAAAATGGGATAGTGGGGAAAGTATCTAAATCAATACAATAATAAAGATAATAATAACAATAATGATAATAATAATAACACACATTGACAAAAATAGTTATGATAGTAATTAATAAAAGTACGTGTTACTAATGATAAGTAATATCAATGCATATAAACACATTCAATAAAAGTTAATGCATAAAAGCTATAGCATGTAAAAGAAATCTCATTTCAATAAAAAGTGGAGCAGAAACAAGTACACAAACTATTAATGCTCATAAACAATACAACATAATATACAATACAACAATGAATGATTTATAATAACAAAAATAAGAATAATAAACTAGAGGAAATCATCATAGTGCTGCATATTGTATAACAACTACCAATAGAAATAATAAATAAATACTGAGCATTACTTTACTGTAAAAAAACATCATCAAAAAAACTGCCCTGCTGCAAAAATGAAAAATTACCATCCTGAAGGTATTAAAGTTAATGAGAGAGAGATTTGATGCCATAGTGTTAATATAATGAAGAAAGGAAACGATCGAATGTGTTTGTGTAGAAGTGAAGGTGTAGTAGAGAATGAGTGTGATGTGGTGAATTGGTAATACGTACAAACGAATTGAAACAATTCCAACAAAAACAAACAAAAAGAATGAAGTACGACAATGAAAATTACAAGAAAGCAATTCATTTTACGTAGTTTTATAGTTTGAGATTTAAGAAGAGAAAAATGAAGGACGAGGTTTAGTAGCTATAGGCATTATTTCTCTTCTCTCTGCCTCTTTAATCATTTCTCGTACTAATTTTATAAAGTAAAACCGTCTCAGCATCAATTTCACTATAGACTCTCCTCCTTTCATTGACTGCGCTGCATCAATGTCTCCTTCAACTGGTTTTAACTGATACTTTTCCATTAAAAT